TATTGGGAGGGAGTTTTCCAGCCCTAACATAATGAAGTTATTCCTTTGGCTGGCACACACGTGCCAATAACTGGTAAGCCAGAGAACAGATTTTTGGTTTTCCTTTTTTTTTTTTTTTTCCAGATCATCAAGGACCTACAAGATTTCCCAGGGACTCCCTTCTTTATAAGGAGATAAACTGTAACACTGAGTTGCAAGAAATGAAGGTCGTTGCTTTGACGTTCCAGTTAGCAAATGAAGACACAGCACAGATGCTTCAGCACTTTCTCTACAGCAGTGGGAAGTCTCAACACCCTAAAAATAAGTTTATGCATGTTTGGTTTTTTATTAGCAGCCTAACAATGTAACAGCAGAGAGCCAACACTATGCTATCTCACTGTGAAACAAACGAGCCAGAACAGCAGAGTTAGGATTGTTCAAATTAGTGGAAGTCTGCAGTGGTGTTTTCAAGTTCACTCCAGCTTAGTCCAGTGGCACAGAGCCAGGTCTGAGATCAGCTTGAAACCAAGGACTGGGAAGTTTGGAACAGTTTCTACCAGCTGCAAACATCAGCCCCTTAGAACCAAATGCTGAGAGATTTGACTCCAGATATTCTCAGCTCTCCCTACCCCAGTTCTAGTTCTCAGGAGCCTCCTCCTGAAGGAGTGACTAAGCAAGCAGTAGGCTGAAAACCAAGCAAAAACCATCACACAGGTTTGAGAGTAACAGGAGCAGTTTGGTATTAGAATGGATTTAAAACTCCTGAAAGAAAGGGAAGCTGTTGTGCTGTCCAGAGACAGGACAGTGCTACTTTTAACACAAATCTGAGCAAGGGGCTCATCTGGAGCAACATCCAGCTGGAGTATCTATCTACCTACTCAGATTTCCAAGTCAGGGCCCAGAGTGGCAATGGCTCTTTGGAAATGCTCCACAGTGTGCAAACCCGCACTACTGAGCTTTATTAAAGGGGACATCCAGAGATGTGACACACCAAAGTCCAAGGGTCACTCACACTCAACAGGTATCACAACACACTGCTGGGGATGAGGCCTTCTGGGTCCAGTCCCTTCTGTCAATAATTTTAATGCTTTCATCTGGTATTTCTCACAACTTACCCTAGACAGACATTTTTAAACCATGAATTATCATATTTACTGCCATTATTGATATTGGGATCACCACTAATCTTAGGCAACCATTCTCTTTTCTGCCCTGTACTTACCTTGTTGATCCCTCCTACCCCAGGATTTGAGACCCTGACACAGCCAGGAGAGGCTCTGCACAGCCCGTGCACCAGCCCCAGCTACTCCAGAGAGCAGAGCCCGTGTCCCTGCAGGGCCCCCTCACTGCAGCCCCCAAGATCAACCCCTTCATTCCACCGCCCAAAAAGCAGGGATGATTCACTCCTGCACCAGGATAAAGGATCCATATTCCGTGAGCAAGGCATAAACCACACAGAAGACAAATGCCTTGTGTTCTCTGCTCAAGCCTCCTGCACAATCGCAGCAAAGCAGGAACAACAGCTGAACTACCTCAAACTCTGAGCCAGGAATCCCACACTAACCACAGCACCATCACCCAGCTCCAGAGAAGGACTGGGACAGCCTGGATTTCCATGGCTGTGCCAGCATTACCGCTTTAGATGCCACACACAGAGGTTCTCAGAAATACGGTGAAGGGCAGGATAAATATCCGCAGGGTCCTGTGCAGACACCTGCAATGGAACCCTCTGACACCAGAAGATGGAAGCTGTGCTGCTGATCTAAATCAGTGGCTGCTCCTAAGCTGAGCCAGCCTGCACACCGAGTTGTGAAAACACCCTCCAAAGTCTGGGGGTGGAGGAGGAGGGATATCAGCTGCAGAATGCTGCACAGCAAGTAAACAAATGTGTTTCAACTTCGGGTTTGCAGCCCAGACAAACTACGCCACCCCAGAAGCCGCAAGCAGAGAAGGGCCTCACCAGAACAAGGACAAAGAACACGAATTCTCATGATGTTGGTATCATTATACCTCTAGAATAACAACCCTCCCCAAATTTCACAGGCTACTTTCACAAGAACTAAGCTATCTGAAATTTTACAGTATCACCACAGAGTGAAAGAGCCTAAAAATGAAAAAGAACACTGACCTGCAAAGGCTTTATGAGAATGATTATAGAGTTTGTGCATCTTCGAGTCACAAAGGCCTGTGCAGTTGCAAAGCAAGTCCAAACTGACATGCTGTTAAATTACAATTACCTACATGAAGCTGAACTGCCTCTGGACTGCACTACCATTACCTGAACTGTGCTACTCCACTCACTGAATGGGAAAGCACAGCTGAGGCACCAACAAGCCCTATCTCCAGGCTCCACTCAGTGCTTTGTTATCTGGGAAAGTAAGATGCATCCAGAGAGGAGGAGATAAGCAGATATCCTGCAACACAAGACACATCTGCTTTCCTGAGCACACACTGTGAAAACAGACTTTGCTGAGAAAGGAGCAATCCAGCACACCCTGAGATTACATGATGACATCGAGCAAAGCAGGACAGCAGCAGCAGCCCCAAGCATCTGCCTGACCCTCAGACTGCTGTGAGTGCAACATGTCCTCAGTGCCCACGATAAAGACACGCTGCTGCCTCAGGAAGCACAGAGCCAATCAATGTCAGGGCTCTCAAAAGCAGCCCTCAACCTTCTGCAACTAAATGGAAATATATGGAAAAAAGCCCTTACAGCATCTGTTAAGCACATGCTGAGCTGGAAGAGCCTGAGCACGGCAAGAACCTGTGTTTCAGCACACTGCAAGGAGACAGCTTTCTGCTCCAAGCAGTGAATCACTCTATCAGCAGCAGTGCTCCCAGAGCCTAAAGCAGCTCTAGCAACCCCCACTGAAGTTAAGTGAGCCCTTCTTTAAGGGTTACCAAATGAGACAGCAAAACACATTTAGTCTAGCTGTTCTGTTATGCAATGTTTTAAGTCCAAGTTCTAAACATCAGACTGCTGAAGCTGCTACTCCAGCAAACTTCTTAACTAATGAAATTCATTAAAAACAAGTGAGTCTTCAGTGTTTTCTTAGGCCTGAAATATCTGAGGCCTTCAAAATCTTCACAAAGAAATACAGTCTGCAATTCAGAGGCACATCCACAGGTGCTACCTCCATGGATAAACAAAGACAAGGGAGTTAGCCAAGAACAACATAAGAGTTAAGGAATTTTTCCTATGCTTTTGTCATGAGTCATGGAGATCTAAGATTAATTATAGCCTACACTGAAAGTACCCTAAAAAATGCATCACCGATTTCAGTTAGACAGCATTTCATGTCCAACAGGTTTTCACAAGATGCTTGAGCACTCATATAGCACCAGTAAACCTACCAAAGTCACTAAGGCCAGATGGAAACTACAGGTATGTCACCAGGACCTATTCAGTCAGCTTTTAAACTTAAACAGTCTTTTCAGTCTTAAGTGCTGAATGATATCAATTGTAGCAGAGCAAAATAAATGACAAGAAAAAGCCACTCTTCTGAACTTCCTCAAACATTCAGCCCATTTCCTACTTCAGCTGACTCACACTGGAACTTGCTCACAGAACACTTCCAGCATCAGAAAAAACCAGAACTCAAACAAAAGACAACAGTTCTATGCCAAGTTATTGATGGTCACCCAAACATGAATGTCCCTAAAAACACGATCCACAGTTCAACAGATAAGTTAGTAGAGACCCTTAAAACGACTTAAAGTAGATGTAGCAACTACATACAAGACTGTACAAGCTGATTTATGTTTTTTTGTAAGTAAACACAGCAATCTAAACCTACACCACTTTCTGAGAGCAGGATTAGAAAACCAGTGTTTACATCAATCAGGCACACGTGTGTGGTCAAGTGAGCATGCACCCACGTCCCCCCCGCCGTGTCCAGGCCCACAGCTGTTGCAGCGACACCAAGGCCGCGTCAAACCGCAGCAGTTCACCCCGAGACAGCCAAACCCCAGCCCCGCACGCCGCACTTACCGTCCTCGAAAGGGGTCCCCTCGGGCCTGGAGAAGGGAAAGCAAAGCACAGCGTTACCCCGCTGGCAGCCCGGCTCCAACCCCCCGGCGGCTGAGCGGCCCCCGCGGCCCGCCGCCCCCTTCCCCGCCGACTCACCCGAAGATGACGGCGTTCCACACCATGATGTTGTTCTCAGAGGGGGCCCCGCTCACCCCGGCCGGGGGATCCTCCTGCAGCCTGCGGGGCACAGGGACGGTGAGCGCGGCCTGCGCCCCCGCGCTGCGCAAACGGCGTAGCCCGCCCCGGCAGCGGCCGCGCCGCGCAAACGGCGTAACCAGGCCCAGGACCGGCCGCCCGCGCAAACGGCGTAACCCGGACCGGCGGCCGCCGCTGCGCAAACGGCGTAACCCGCGGCAGGCAGCGCCGCCCGCGCTACGCAATCAGCGGAGCGCGCCTTGCCCCGCCGCCATGTTGTGCTGCCCCCTCCTCCCCCGGTAGCGCTCGGCCCTTCGTCCAGCTCCCGCCCGCCCGCCCCTTTCCCCTCGGCCCGCGGCCTCGGTACCTCTTGAAGTCCCGCATGAGGCGCCTACGGGCCGGAGTGGACATGGCGGGCTGAGGGTTATAGCTCAGGCATACACTGCCGGAGGGAGCGCCGGGCGCGGCTGACGTTCGAGCTCCGACTGAGGCGGCGGCGGCGCTGACGGACAGGAGCGATCGCGGCCTCTACCACTACGGCGGGCGCGGGGGGGGAGCCTGGGCTGCACCGACTCCTGCGCCGGCAGCCCGACGGTCCCGGGATGTACCAACGGCGCGGGGAGAGGGGGGCGGAGCCGGATGTGGCTGAGCCCCCGGCCCAGCCTCTACCACCACGGCGGGGGGCGGTGCCCGGGGGCGGCACCGACGGCGGCGGAGGGCGGGGGTGTGACGTCACAGTGGCGTCACGGAGGGGGCGGTGGCGCTGCGGGCTGGGACCAAAACAGTTCCTTAGGGAGAGCGCCGGCCCGGCCGGAACGGGATCCATTGCCGCCCCCCGGGCCAGGCAGGGCTCCAGCACACAGAACGGTGTCTAGGGAAGACAAACGCCATCACTCCGAATTCCCCCCTTCCTCCTTGTCCCCCAGATTTCTGAGCTGAGCATGAGCCCTGTGCTCTGGGGCATCCCTGGGCTCAGCTGGGCTCGGCTGTCCTGGCTGTGTCCCCTCCCAGCTCCTTGTGCTCCCCCAGCCTCTCGCTGCTGGGCTGGGCTGAGGGGCAGAGAAGGGCTCGGCTCAGGGTAAGCCCTGCTCAGCAGTAACAAAAACATCTCTGAGTCACCAGCACTGCATCCAGCACAAACCCAAACCACAGCCCCACACCAGCTACTGCAAAGAAAATTAACTCCATCGCTGTCAAAACCAGCACAACCTGCTACACTGCATTTTCTGCTTCCCCAGAGAGTGTTTCCAAGGAAAAAATAAGCTATTTTCCACGTTTCTTTAACAGCTTTTGGAAATACAGAATCTCTCAGCTGTCGTGTAAAGCAGGCTGGCTGGGCTGTGTTTCCCGAGTTTTTCCTCACTCGTAATTTCATATAATCCAGCTGTGTGGGGCGGCTGAAGAAAGAAGCACGGGAGAAAACCCAGTGAAAGAAAGTTCCCGTTGTTACCACGGCCGCGCTGCGAACCTGCCGCTGCGGGCCGGAACCGTGCGAGCTGCGGGCGCTCGGCGAGAGCAGCTCGGGGCAGCGCCGGGCCCTCAGGGCCGCGGCAGCCCCGGGAGCCGCCCCGGCGGGCGGGGCCGGCGCGGGGGCCGGGCCAGGCGCTCCGAGCCCGCCGGCCCCGAGCCCGCCGCCGCCATGCCCAAGGTGGTGTCGCGCTCCGTGGTGTGCTCCGACACCCGCGACCGCGAGGAGTACGACGATGGGGAGAAGCCGCTGCACGTCTACTACTGCCTGTGCGGGCAGATGGTGCTGGTGCTCGGTGAGCCGGGGCAGGGGCAGGCCGGAAGGGGCAGGCCAGGCCGCGGCCCGGCGGCGCACAGGGCCCGCGCAGGCGGCGGCGGGGTGCGGGTCCGGGATGTGGGATACGGGTGTGGGATACGGGGTGCGGGTTGCGGGTTCCCGGCGCCAGCCCGGCCCCTCGCTCCCCGCAGATTGCCAGCTGGAGAAGCTGCCGATGCGGCCCCGGGACCGCGCCCGCGTGATGGACGCGGCCAAGCACGCCCACAAGTTCTGCAACGCCGAGGAGGAGGAGAGCGTCTTCCTGCGCAGGTGGGCTCTGCATCCCCCGGCCCCTGCATCCCCCGGGCCGGGAAGGGGCTGCCCTCCCCCCGGCTGGGAGCTGCCAGCCAGGCACGACACCCTGTGTCCGTGTGCTCTGCTCAAGCGCTGCCTCTCTCCCCCAGGCCCGAAGGCATTGAGCGGCAGTTCAGGAAGAAATGTGGCAAGTGAGTGACCTGTTTGAGTCTTTGGAGTGATTTTTAGAATCTTTTTAATGAGGAATCCATAGGAATCCAGAATCTGGGTTTCCTCTCATATTTCTGTTTCCAGGTGTGGACTGCTGCTCTTTTATCAACACCAACAGAAAAATGCTCCTGTGACGTTCATTGTTGATGGTGCTGTGGTCAAATTTGGCCAGGGTTTTGGGAAAACAAACATATATACTCAGAAACAAGAACCTCCTAAAAAGGTGATTTGCTTTCCTAAAGGTGTTGTGTATAAAATAACTTAATGGTGAGGGGACAGGGGAGAGAAAAGAAAAAGAAAAGGACCTCTGAACAATAATTCATTTTGGTGTCTTGTCCATGTCTCCCTTAAGTTTTCTTTGGCAGTGGTCACTGCAGCTTGAAGTCCTAGCACTAAAGGAGAGTAAAATCAACTCTAAAATCTAGACTGTGCCTGATGTTTAGGCTCAGCTAACAGAAAGTGTCCACTTGTAAGTAGGTCAGGTTGGTAGCCTGCACAGTGATTCTCAAAGTCTGGCTCATCTACTGTATATCAGTGAGCTTGCTTCTGGTAATGAAACCTTTAAGCCCAGAAATCACTGAGCATAATTCCCCTTTGCCACCCACAGAGTTCAGGTAACCTTGATGGCTTGCATAAGAAGCCTTAAAACCTATGGAAGGACGAAGCAATCCCTACTGGCACAACTGTTGCCAGGGTTTAACAGAACATTCTTGTTTTTCACCCAGGTGATGATGACCAAACGGACCAAAGACATGGGCAAGTTCAGTTCTGTCACAGTCTCCACAATTGATGAAGAGGAGGAGGAGATTGAAGCGGTGAGTTTTGGATGCCCTTAGTGGCAGCCACATCTGAGCTGGGCAGAGCCAGCAATGGTCTCACTGTTTGGATGAGATATTGTTACTCTGGGGTTTGTGTGTGTATTTCAGAGGGAGATTGCAGACTCGTATGCACAGAATGCAAAAGTGATTGAGAAGCAGCTGGAACGCAAAGGCATGAGCAAGAAAAGGCTACAAGAGTTGGTGAGTTTTTCTTTGGTGCTGAACACAAAGCTCTGAGATGTGTTGGCTTTGTACACAAAAGCTATCTTGCAGATCAGACTGAAAGTAGAGAGCGGTCCTGGTATAGTCACAGGCAGCTTGCAGCTTTGTGAGGATGAGATTTCCTTTATAAGTTTTATAAAGATGTTCTAGTCCCCCTGAACTTCAAATTGCACGCCATTGCCTGGAGAGCTAACTGAGAGCAGCCAGCAGAGCGCTTGCAGGGAGGCTTTCTGTGACCTGTCGGACGAGGAGCAAGGGAAGGGGAAACCAGGCCATGGCTTTGCCAGCCTGCTCTTGTGCCTGCTGGGCAGAGCAGGTCACTGCCATGAGGCACCAGGGCACTGCCAGGCTCCTGTGGAGGATCTGCAGCTCAGCTGCTACTGCACGGGGCACTCGAAGAATGAATGGCAAGAACATCACAACTGATCTTACCTCCTGTGACAGGGGGTAGTAGGTGGAAAGGGGGAGGAAATGTGCAGCTTCCATCTGAGAATAGAAGGTATGAAATTGCCTCTTGGGCAGTTGGTTTTGGGCTTTTTATGATTTTAAAGATGGTCCTTGTTTTGTACATCAGCAAAGCACTTGAGCTACTCTTGCTCCTGGTTTTGGAACTGAAAAGGTCGCTTGGTCAGACAAGAAGAGTGAACTTAATTGGAGCACTGAAGGGAAAATTATCCAGACATGATTTAATTCTACTTTAATTTTCCTGTTCAGGCTGAGTTGGAAGCCAAGAAAGCCAAGATGAAAGGAACCCTGATTGATAACCAGTTCAAATGAAATGCTGTGTATCTGCTGGGTATTTGGAGACAGGAGAAAACTACCAAGAGCTGTCACAGTTCTGTCAACAAAGCAGAAGTAACAGACAACGTTCAAGAGTGGCACTGTGCTGCTGCCAGCTTGGAGGATGAGAACCCCTCTGGATCCCTCTGTAAAGTGATACTCTGGGTACCAATCTTAACTTGGCACTGGAGGCTTTGCTCAAACTGCAGTTCCCTACAGACCCAGTGTTGTGAGCAGGCCATTCCAGGCAGAATATTTATTTCAAGAAAGTCTTTGCTGGGTGCCTTCCCAAGTTCACCTTTAGATACCTGTCTTTTTATTTTGTAGCTTTCAAATGTGTTTCCTTGAATACATTAGGATGACGGGTAACTGTACAACAAAGAAATCCTTACAAAAGTAAGCTCTATGCCTGTTGTTCATTTTGTTATTTTAAACATATCCAGAAGGTGCAGCAGCCTGAGCCATGCCATTCCAACAGTCTGGAAGGACTGGGATGCAAGGCCTGGGCATGGTGCTGCTGCTCACCCTGACCTGCCAGAGGCAGCCAGCACAGACTGGGCTGCTGCACTGCAGTCTCAGCTCCTGCTGAACATCACAGGGCTGCAGTTGTACAGAATTACACTGTCACAGCAGACACATACCAGAGTGTAAAATCCAAGCCTGTTTTAAACTACTGTAAATAAAAACTGCTACTATGGAGTTCAAATACTTGGTTGGAAGTTACTGATACAGCCAGTGATTATTAAAGAATACAACTGCACATCTGCACTAGCCCTTTGGGCAAAACAGTATCAGTTTTCGGAGCTGTGAAATGTGAAGGAAAAATTGTTTTGTATTTTTCCTTCTGACCACTAAGGGCTTGGATAGACAACATAATACACCAGTTTTTAAAGTACCCTGTTTGGGTAATTGTACTTTGTGCCTCTTGCATGATATAATAACAGTGTTCTCTAGCCCATGTCTTCATTGCTCTCTACTGGATTAAATATCATGTTACAGATTTGAACTAAAATACCTCTCCTGAGATGTTTTTGCTCTACCAAATAAATGCATCATAAAATGCAAGCAATGAACAAGATGCTTCCATCTCCCACAATTGTTATGGAAAACTTTCTATAATCAATAAATATTTTCCATCTGGCTTTATAGTCCTGACTGGGAAAACTCAGATCTGTGTACCTAAGGATCTATCCTCTCTTTCTCAGGAAAACAAGGAGTAAAAGAGGGAGTGAACTCTGCCCAGAGCCAGCAGAGATGGGTTGGTAGATCCTGGGACAATTTAATGCCAGGCTGGTAAGCAGGTGTTCGTGTTAACTCATGCAGTGCTGATCTTGTTCCCTGCTCACCACCTCTCATCTGAAGCCTATCTCCAGAAGAGCCCGTGGTGGTGTGCAGTACCTGGGAGGGCAGGAGATGTGTGGGTACACAAACCCCTTTCCCAGTGTGGTAGCACAGCCCAGCCAGGCGAGGGCCTCAGGGCTCCTCTGGGGGTGATCCAAGCCTGGGGGAACTGCAGGTTGATCTCTATAAAAGTTCAGACTTTTTTTCCCAAGCGGGAGTAAAAGACTTTGACATCTGAAAATAGGTTTGATCCATGTGAGATGTGCTGGGTTGCAGATGCTGAGTCTCCAGTTGTCCAGGGATGAAGTGTGGTCTTGCTTCAGGCGACACCAGAACAACAAGCTGACTTGGGGATGGTGGGATTTATTGCCAGGGTTAAGGCTGGGAGTGACAAAAGCTGAGGACAGGCTGTGAAGGGGCTGCCAGTTGGGGATAGGAGCGTCTTTGCAGTTTGGTCAGGCACAAAGAAAGTCTGGTGAGTGTCCCAGCTCAACACAAGTTGTCCAAAGTAGCTGTTACCAACTTCCTCAGCTGCCTCCTGGAGCCTTGCGACAGCACAGCACAGGCTCTGGAAGGCCAGTCCATGTTCAATCAGTGTTTGTCCTCATCACTGGAAATCTAGTTTGGCTCAGGACTTGTGCATGGACCCAGTCAGAAAGGGGAGTGCCTTGCATCTTCTGAGGTGCTTTTGATACACTCTAGTTATGCAGGCCATGGCTGAAACAACTCCAACACAGAGAATCTGATCCAATACATTATTATGTATTTCTTACTTCAACTGGAGCATTCACAACAGTGTAAATCAAATTGGGATTTTCATTTCTAGATCTAAATTAAAATATATTAGCTGACTGTAGCAACAGGAAGCAGGGTCACCAAGTTCAAACAATTGATGAAATGTCCTGTTAATATAGATAAAACCAGCTGTCCTGCAGCGTTTCCCATACCCTGGTAGCAAATGGGCAATCTGTAGCAGAGTTCAGACCAAAGAAAACTCAGATTTCATGTTACAGTCAGACATGCAAAAGTCAGCATTTGTTTTTATAAATCTGTAGATAGAGGTAAGTGATAGATTTGTTTAACTGAGCATGAGATTGTATGCAAGAACTTGTCTAGATGCAGAGGTATCACAAAATGTGAAATAAAAGTGAAGGAGGGAATCTGTTTCAAAAGTAATGGCACACAAGGACAGACTTACCTTACTGTATTTCATTACTAAGTTCAGACCAGTTTCCAAGCACCTTCACAAAACTGTAGCCTGATTTACCAAGTCAGAACAGCTCTGGGTGTAACAATGGTGCCTGGCTCCCCATAACCTGTACAAAACCTCCACACAATTTGTAAACACTCAAGAGAAGTGGTAACAGTGAATCCAGCAGCTGTGCCTGGGCAGCAGCATGGAGTGAGCGGAAGTTTCTGGTCAACCCTTACAGCTCTCCTTGTGCTCCACGTTTGTGCTATTTTACTCAGTGCAGATGGCTTTGCTCTGACTCCCTAGACTGTTGCATCGATGCACATTGATAAATACACATAATGTGCATGACAAAGTGATCAGCTTGGGAGCAGCAGTAACTGATCAGTCTGAATCATAGTGTCAGCTTTTGCTGGTGATATCCCAAAGAGGCCATGGGGCTTTGCCACATCCAGGCATTTTAAAAGTACAAAATTACGGGCTTGTTTAAAAGGCTCCAGGGCTGGGCTCCAAGGATGGAATGGAAGCCTTGTAACTCCCTGCTGAGGAATCCTTATGACCCTAGCTGGCCACAGCCCACTGGGGATTTGGGTAGATTTCAAGGCACAAGTGGCCAATCGCTCTTTTGTGGTCAGCCAGAAAACTCCATCCCCGTGCCAGCAGCCAGGGCTGTAACTCCTGTCAATCCCAGCAGGATCAGAAAGCAACAACCAGCAAACCACTGGTGGGATGACACCTCCCAGAGCCCCCTGATGCTGCCAGTCTTGGTGTGGGGTCTTGAGGACTCATTGTTCCCAAAACCACCACCCCCAGCAGCTCAGTATGGCTCCAGGGTGTGCAGAACTGGGGCTGTGTCCTTGCAGGCATGTGAGCTCTGTCCCCACAGCCAGGCCCACCATGCACGTGCTTTGGGCAGCTGATGGGGCCACCTGGTGTGGCTGGGCAGTGCCAGGAACAATCCCCACTGGGAACGATTGATTTTACCCTGCATGACAAAGCATTGCCTCTTCCCCTGCCCCTCGGCACCAGACCCTGCCAGTCATGCAGGCAGCACATGAAAGATGCTGGGGCAATGCCTGCCAAGGGTGACAAGGACATGGAGGCAGGGGCACTCCTGTCTCCATCCAAAGCCCAGAGATACAGCCTGGAGTGACCCAACGATTGCTGAAGGGGACAGTGGAGTGGATGAGCTGGCACTCTGGTCTTTTACAAGTCAAGTCCTTGGGGTGGGATGCTCTTCACTGCAAGACTCAGCACAGAGCCAGGCACAGCCCAGCTGGGGCAGGCTGGTGCACACCGAGCCATTCCAACCATCCCACAGCAATCATCACCTGCCCCAGCCACTGACAAGCGTGTCACACGATCCCCTGCGCAGCTGTGCTGCGTCAACACCTCCTAAGCCTGGATTTATGGCTGCTGGGCCAGGGGCTGAGACAAAAGCAGCATTACAGGCACTCACCCATCCCTGTTCACCAGCAAAGGAGCTGATGCACCAGGCTGGACACAGCTCCTGTGGAGGAAATCACGACATGTGTGACGTTCAGCCCTTCCCACAGGAGAATCACACTTAAAAGGAAAATCCACCCCCATCCATGCCATTCTTGTGGCAGCACAGCCCAGTGGACAAAATGCTGTGTTGGAGGGACTGCACTCAGCTTGCTGCCTTGCCACTGGCTGGCCTAAGTCCTTTTCTCTTGCCTCAGTTTCCCCAGAAGAACAAAGCCATTAATCCCTGTACAGTGTGCTTCCATGGGAGGCAACAGCAGCAGCTGAACCCCCCCAGATAAAGCTGCTCCCAGGGAGCTGCCAGGAGGGGGGCAGTTTAAACCCCAGAAGGCCTACCAGCCTGTAGTACTCAACAGTGGAGTGCAGGAGAACCCCTTGGGGGCTCTGCCCTGCATCTCACACCTGCCAGAGCTAAAAAGAGCTGTGAAACACATTCTTGTTTCCTGAATCCCCAAAGCAGTCAATAGGGCAGGTAGCTGGAACCTATTTCACTCAGTGCCAGCCCTGCACCCCAAGTCCAGTGCACAATCTGTAGGTCTTAGGGACTCCCCAGCTCAGTTCCTTTGCAGCCTGGCACACAGCCCAGCTCAGTGCCTCAGTCACCCATCACTGTGTGCAGGAAGAAATGATGCACCTACCTTATTGTGCCAATGGCCTGGCCATGCAACCCCTGTGGAGGAAAGGACAGGGAAGGATGCCCCATGCTCAGCAACCAGCAGCATTTCAGAACAGCTCTTGAAATCCAGGAGAGTTTAGCAGCAGGAGGCTGAGAGCCCTTAGTATTAACTAGCTGGCACTTGTACAACAGGAGAGGGCTCCTTGGTAAAGGGAGCCATGGCACAGTCCCCTGCCAAGCTGCTGCCTGTGCCCCAGCACTGCCCACTGCTTGTGGCATTGCTTCACATCTCACCTTTACAGCTTGTTTCACCTCCACAGCAGGCAGTGGGGGATCTCACACTGCAGCAGCCCAGGGGCACTTGAAAATCATCAGCAAGGACAATTGGCTCAGCTGTGAGGCACAAGACTGTCTCCCATGAGGAAGGCCCGTGCCCACTCACAGGGACCCTGGCAAGCCACCACCACCTGCAGCAGGAAGGTGCTGTGCTCTCATGCCCGGCTGCTCTGCTTAGATTCCAGCAATAAAAACAACTCTTGCCCTTTGCAACACAAGGTCTTGTTTAGCTGCCTTGGGCAGTGCCTGAGATTGGTTTCAGTGATTGAAATCAACTGCTTTGAGCAGGCCTGAGCAGCCAGAAAGACCAAAGGCATGGGGGAAGTGAAGAACTCACTGTTCTGAAGGGCAGAAGACCAGGAGAGCATCCCCTCACCACTCCAGATCCCCAGGCAGAAACCAGGCAGCTCCTCTGGGGTGACTCACAGACCTACAGACATATCTGGGTAAAGGCCACACCACACACCTTGCCCCATCTTGCAGTTTTCCCCAAACTGTCCCAGCAGCATAAAGGAATTTCCCCCTTCCCCTGGAATTTTGAACCTTAAGCTCCAGGGGTAAGGAATGAGCCTGGGAATGCACCTCTCTGCCTAGCAAGCACAGCTGGTACAGAAGCTTCTCTGCTCAGCTGCTGAATCCCCACAGCACAGCACCCTCTGTGAGAGCAAGGCCGACCTGGGAAGCTACAGAACAGCAGCAATTAACTGCACTTGTGTCCTCTGGCTGCCTACATGCCCAGTTAGGTAGCTCAGTTTCTAAGGCAGAGAACATGGTGCCAAGCTCTGCTCCTCCAGGGAGCAGGAAACACTCCCTTAGACATTCTTCCAGCCCCCCAGGCATTCAGTGCCATAGGGGGTGCTGTGCTTTACAGACAGTTTAGGCACTTGGCATCATTAAAATCAGGCTTCACAAGCTCCAAGGAGCAGACAGGCCAGAGGCAGGACTGTGGCACACAGTCCATCATCTCTGGTTAGTGCAGTCTCAGGGAGGTCAGTGGATGAGTCCTTCAGAGCTGCCAGTC